GTCTCTCTGGCATCAATTGGACCACACCCCTCACTGTTAAGGATGCATATGAGAGTTGGAGTCTATGGAAAGTTGACAAAGCCATCAAGAAGATCTGGATTATGATACCTGCTTGTATTTTTTGGTGTATTTGGTTAGAGAGGAACAAGAGATGTTTTGATGGAGAGTCAACTGCTTTAGGCATTTTGAAGACTAGGTGCACTGAAAATTTGTTTAGTTGGACCAACTTGTATCATGCTGTTAATGCAGAACAACTTCAGGATTTTACTAACTCATTAGCTCTGGCTTAGATAGTTTGTATAGTTAGCCAGAGATTTTTTTGTAAGCTCAAATGCCATATCTTGTAAATTTTGCATCTTCTTGATGCTGTTATTAATACCACTTATCTTATCAAAAAAAATAATGACTTCGTTTATTAAACATTACACTACTTCAATCCAGACTTTTATGTTTAGCACTGCGCATTCCACACTCACACCATATCATCCAGGTATGCTGCTTTCACGTTGCTATACTCCTCCCCCTGTAAGCCTTGGGAACCTTCTCACACTTCCCATCATCAAAAAAAATAAAAATTGGACTCCTCATATGGCTAATTTCACCCTTTATTGGCTGCCACAACCTTATTCACACGCTAAGCCTGCTTTATGTAATTCTGCAATATGATACCTCCCTTTGTTGTTCTTACTTACAACTCCTATTTATTTTTTTGAGAAAGGTAACATTTACTTGTATATATCCACAAGTATACTACATCAAAGTGTAGTCCCCCTCCAAAAAGTTTTACTTGCATCATTCCTAAGATCTTCTAGTTACAGCCAGTCAATAATATTAAACACATTTTCAGCTTCTCCTATTACTACTTGCTTACCAAAAATAGTAAAGCCCTAGGCAATTTGTCTTTATCTTCTGGATATTGTTCTGTTTTCCTTCAAAACATCTTTGATTCCTTTCCTTCCAAATTGTCCACCAAATGCAAGCTGGGACAATCCTTCATCTCTTCTCTTGTTTTCCTGCATTTCCATCCCTGTTCCAACATTGTAGGACTTTTATAATTCTCCCAGGCTTTGTCCACTTGATCTTCCTCTTTTGGATGAACATCTGCCACAATTGATCTGTCCATTTGCAGTGTAAAAAGAGATGATTGACTGTCTCCACCTGTTCTTCACATAGATAGCAACTAGAACGTAGATTGGGCTTCCTCTTGTTTAAGTTCTCATGTGTCAAGATTGCCTCCTTTGCCTTTCTTTACAAACTTACTATTCATTCTTATGGCTTGCCACTTATCCAATTTTACCGCAAATATCTCTTTGCCCTTTCTCTATTCCAAAATTTGGTGACACTTGGTACATTCAACAGCTACTGAATCCATGCATTAGTTCTCCTTTGTTGCTGCTACATTTTTTAACATTCAATCTTTCAGTGCTTAGAATAAAAACACGCAGCCATAGTTGAATCAGGTTATGTACAACCATGCTCGCTTGTGCTACTTTATGCAAACTTCAACTTGTGTGGGACACTAATTGTGTTTTCCTGCAACTTACTACTTTGATAATACACCTTATACTTAAACACGCAAGAATACACCAGTGGAGGAAAGAAATAGAGTCCGTCCTACACACCTAAACCCTCCAATTGGTTGCCCTGGTAAAGTATAGATTATACCTTCTACTTCTTCGTTGTTGGCCACAACTAATATTGTCTTTCTTTTTTGCTTCAGTAATTAAACTACCTCTGGTCCCCCTCGAATGGGCACACACTCACATGTCAAAATTTCGGATTGAATGCCTGCGGGGAAACCAAGAACCACTGAGACCCTTCATCCATCCAAGAATGCTCTGCAAGATCCATCAGGCAATGAATAATGATTGTGGAACTGATGCTTAATGTACAAAAAAAATGTTATCTCATGTTTACTGTTTCAATTTGCTGCCCCTGTACTTCCAGTTACCCGCCCACCCCCCTTATTACACTTTACATTCACATTGTTTTGGCAATGTGACTTTTAGCCGACTAGTTCACCGCCCATTTTATTTGTATTATGGTACAACTCGCTTTATAATGGTATATCCTTCTCTAGCTTTATTGTCCCTTCATTTACATGGTTTAAACACAACAAAGCTGGGCCAATGGTTATTAATCACTTGGTAGACAATCAAGCCTTCTGCATAGGAATAAGAACTAACGTTTTTCAATTGAGCGTACTCGTGAAGGTTAATGAATTCATATGGGTTAAGGTGGTGTGATTGCTCTAATGGTAATATTATAGTCTCGGCTAGCCTCCACATTAACAATCTAAAACTGAAAATTATATAATGAAGTTCAACTTTCATGTTCTGTGAATTTTTCCTTCTTGACTCAATTGAGATGTATAGTCGAATTTCATGTCCAGTAAAAGTTCCCTTCTTGTCTCGTAATGAATGGTGTTTCTACTTGATTATCTATACGCTGTTTGGGAAGAAGTTCCCAAACGTAAAAAGACTCATGCTTTCGAGTCTAACATGCGGACAATGCAAAATGATAAGCCTTGATGGACTCAGATATTAGGTTGTGGCTGTTGGAATCTAATAATCATCATAACATCATTAGGAAGTGAAATAGTAAATCGGTTAGTAAAGATATTTACATACATAAGAGTAAATCAGTTTCCAGCAAAATAACTTCAAAGATTATGAACAGATAACAATCTGACGTATCTTAGCATTATGTGCATTACCACTTATAATGATAAGTGGAAAAAACAACTGCTAAAAAAAGTAAAAGATAATTGTATGGGCCTATTATCCGCTCACAATCCTTCTCATCTAAAATCTAAATTCATCACATCCGAAACCCAAATTCATCATAAAAGAAATTTCAACAAGACCTCAGAAACAAGTATATTTCTCCAAGTAAACTCAAGAGGAAGTCGAAAATCATCATTTCATCATCATCTATACTAGTAAAGACAATACCAAAGCATTCATATGGAACTTCATTAATTTTTTTTGATGACAAGGGAAACCCGCAGCCGCTATCCTTTGGGTGCGCACAGGGTAAAACCCCCACTCCTATGCAATAGCTCGCAAACCACATAGGAGAGGTAACCCGCACTAGGCAAGCCCGGTGCGACGAGCTCGATCCAGAAGGCAAACCCCTTGCTTTCGCTGGCAAGGGGTTTCGAACTTGAGACCTCCAACATGGAAGTCCCAAGCCCAAACCACTGGGCCATCCCGAAGGGCCATATGGAACTTCATTATATAAAAGGATTTAACCTTTCCAACCAAAAAGATTGGCTGCCGGAAACTACCCATAGAAGAAGCAGAGAGAACAAATAGAGAACCAAGGCAAGGATGAGGGCGGAGGGAACAATTGGTGGTCACGACCAGTTTTATGAACCTTTAACCCAGCATAGAGAAGAGAAATAAAAATATTTTTATCTCTTAAGGCTTTTAGAATAGGGACTCATACCACCATGTGCATTAATATTTAATTTTAGTGGAAGCTCATATAGGATGATGGAGGGGAAAGCAACAGTTAACACAATTCTGAATGTCAATGACTACACTTTGAGCAAAAACAATTAAGGCATGGTTTCACATGTATGCATCATTTCCCTCCAGAGGCAAGTGACATGAAGATAGACAAGCTTGTTTCGACTTTTGAGACAATAGTTTATTAAAATTATCTATTTATAAAAGCATTCTTTACCTCGTGATAATTTATGTTCTGGATCAAAAGATGTAAAGAAACAGCAGGAAAAGGGAAAATCTCCTTACCTCAAGTTCCATAATCTCACACACTAAGCTAAGATCTGCAATTGAAGGTTGGCCACTCCCAAGCAAAAACCGTCCTTTTCTCTGGAGCCAAACAGACTAGATATTTGCAAGAGATGCCAAAAGGACTTTCTCAGCTTCTGCTGCTGCTTGTGGATTCAAAGTCAACCCAAAAGCAGGAGCGAGAACAGTATCAAAGATACATCCAGCTGAAAACATAAGCACTACTTCAGAAAACTGTTGGAAACAGCTAGAGAGCGGGATATCAAGTTATCAAGGACAAGTAGTAATTAGAGAACATTGGTGAAAAGACTACCTATCCTAGTGGTTTTAGTTGCTGTCATTGTTGAAGAAAAAAAAAGTCATCATCATGCAGTAGCTAGACTCACAATTAGAGGTTTGAGAAAGGTCAGGTGTTTCAATTAGAGGAATCAAGTCCTAAAGATAGACTGAGAAACTTGTAGGCTTGCAGCAACTGTCTTGCATTAGGTTAGTAGCGAGTATCTTAGCAAAGAGCATCATGATAAGCAGATGCTCTTTTTTTAAAACTGATCATACAAACAAATTTCATTGATTAATCTCATTTGGGATAAAAAAATTATTCAGTCATTGCCTTAACTGTAGCCTGTAGGCATCTTTCTGCCCAAGTTCTCGCAAATCCCAGCATTCACCACTAAATTAACTCAAGTAAGGTCAAGGTAAAGTAATCATAATTCAACTGGAAACTGAAATAATCTCAATATCTGATATAAGCACCTGTACCCCTACGCAAGTTTGAGTGATGCCAATCCAACACAGAGTCTACCTTTGCTCTTTTGTATAAGTCAGCAGGGTACCTTCAATAGGACAGTGTAAGAAAGAGGAGTTAAAGCAAACACTAACCAGGATAAGCATTTATACAACCTAAGAGTGTGTACATTAATCTATCACTAAGAATTAAGAGCAACACTGTTCATAGGCACCATAGATGTACTTTTTTTTCTTTTTCAGATAAGTTGGTACAGTACATAGATTCTGATTGACGACTTCTGTGTGTTCACATTCATCTCTTCTCAAATTTTTATAGGGCTTGTTTATTATTCGGTGCTGTTGTTGAGCAGGTATTTTCCAATCTGCTAATGTGTTACTTGTTCTTCTTTTCTGTTGGAGTGCTTCTTTGGTTCGTTCGGGTAAAAACTTTCCTACATCCGGTATTTACACCAAACAATGTACTTTACCATGGTTAAGTAATAAATGAGATGAAAATGCACATTAATTAACCATAGTTAGGTGATAAAAGAGTATGCAGAAGACATGTGTCATGTTTTTTTTTTATGAAGGAAGATGTATTAGAAAGGCATCAAGGAGATGCAAATACATACACAAAAATATGGTTAACTCCAGAGAACAAAAACACCTATTTAATCAGGGAGTTAACCACAAGCAAAAGAATGGTCGCTAAGCCATATTGAGAGAACTAATGAAATCTAAGAGGGGTAATATATCATTTATAGGGCATAAGTTGCTCCAAGGAAGAGGTTAATAAGGCAAAAGGATTTCAAACTGCTAATTGGAGTTGAGATACCATCAAAACATCTGAGATTCCTTTCCTTCCAAATACACCAAAAAATAAATGATGGAGTCATCTGCCAGGTCTTCTTGATGGGGCTATCAACTTCTCTAAGACTCCAACCAACTACTTCTTTGACACTTCGCCGGACAATCCAGTTGATACCAGCAATTGAAATAAACATATTCCAAAGAGCTGCTGCCACTGGACAGTGCAGAAACAAATGAACATGTTATTATTGGTTTGGTACAAATGACGGGTTTCTTAGCAAAACCAGATGTGTTTCTTAGCAAAACTCTACTACTCTACTCCCAGTTAGAAACACAACAAGCAATTAGCAATAAAATAACACGCACAAGTGGGATTAAATCACACAGATGCCAACTGCAGAATAGTTCCATTCGTAATGCCGATTTCCATGTTCAGAGGCAGATGCAATATGGGTTCCGCTAAACCCAACATTTTAACATGGAACTTAGATATATACATGATCATTAATTTTTTAATAACTATTAAATTCTTAACAATAATTTCAGAAGTGCAATGGGTCCAGCAGTGAGAATATATAAGTTGAACCCATCAAGTTTAAATCCCGAATCTGCCCTGGGTTGTATTCCATGTCAAGAAAGATTCAAAGAGTATTCATTTCCATGATACAAAGCATTTGACTAAGGTATATACTCAAAATAAGTCGATGCACTTACCAATGATCTGCAATTCCTGGAAATGCACAAGCCAGATATCTAAGAATTGCATGACTGGATTTCATCGTAAACAGTTCTGGAAATCAGACCTCTTTGCACCACATTACTCCAAAACATATCTAAAAGGGTATTCTCATCAGAGTAAGAAGCATTAAAACTTTTGTACATTTTTAGGGTTATCATTTGCCTTCTTTTGTACATGTCGTCTAACAAATATGACGCAGCATCAACCTTCCCTACCATAAAGTAAGCATATGCAAGAGTAGCATATATTAGACTGTCTCCAAGCACTCCATTTGTTTGCATAATGTGGAAAACTTTTTCAGCACCATCAATTTTACCTCTCCTGCACAACCTCCTTATAATTGCCCTATAAAAGGAAACATCAACAAGATGACCTCCTCTTGCAAACTCATCTGGCAATGAGACAACCGCTACCTCATTATTCAGATGGCAGTAAGCATCCACAAGCCACGAATATGAGCAGTAGCTAGGAGAAAGTCCAACCCTAACCATGTCAAATAATACTTCTTTGGCCCCATCTGTATCCTTTACTTTACAAAATCCATGAATCATAGCATTGTAAGTGAAGCGGTCAGGTTTTAGTCCACCTTCCAACATCTTATTTTTCACCTTAAGAGCAGATTTCATATCCCCGATCTTGCAGTAACCATTAATCAAAGTGTTGCAAGTCACATTATCAGGTATGACTTTCTTCTCATTCATTTCATTTAATAGTATATTTGCATCCTTCATCTGGCCTTGCTCACACAATTTCCGAAGAATTGAGTTGTAAGTAACAACCCCAGGATACAAACCCTTTGCCTCCATTGCGTCTTTCAATCTTAAAGCTTCAGCAACATTGTTGGCTCTGCAATATCCATCTATCAATGTGGTGTAAGTAACCAGGTTAGTGGTAGAACCTTTAATTTCCTTGAAAAGTCTCAAAGCCTCCCTCATCCTCCCTTCCCTGCAGTAACTGTAAATTAAGGAATTATAGGTTACAATATCAGGACATACTCCTGCTCTTTCCATCCTATCCTGCACGCACAAAGCTTCATAATGCATGCCTTTCTTGCAGTACAATGATATCAATGTGTTATAAGTGTAAAGGTCAGGCAGTGTAGCTTTAAACTCCATTTCTCTCAATAAATCATCAGCCCGCTCTACATCACCAGACTTGCAACAGGCATGCATAAGCACGTTATAGATATAGATATTCGGAAGGACCCCTATTTTTTGCATCTTTTTGTAAATTTTCCACAAAGTATCAGTCAACCCATCCTTGACCAATGAATTCAGAAGGGTAGTACAAGCATGTGTATGGGGCATAAGCTTACAAACCCTCATATGCTCAAAAACTTGAATTGCATCATGGGGTAGTTTTGAATTAGCATAGAATATCACCAACCAACTTAAAAGATGTGAGTTCACATCATTATTCATATTAGATCTCACAAACGCATTCAGAACTGTCGGTGATGATAAAAAGTTTTTGACCGCCACCTTCTGAAGCATGTCTTGTGCAGTTTTGAAGTGTTTTTGTTTGGTGAGTATGTAAATCATAGTCCAAGAGGATTGCAACGAATGCTTGTAATTGGGAACTGATTCAGCCCACTGAAAGAATGACCATGAGAGGGAGAAATAATATTGCGATATATGAAGAAGAGCTTGGCTAATAGTGGTGGAAGTCACAAATGAACCGATCTTAGGCTTCAAAAGATTGTCCCAGTGCCCCTTGAAGACAACTGCAGCAACAGCTTTGACCATTTCATTGTCCACATTTGCGCGAATCAGGTTGGCCATGGAAAAAGAAAGATAAGCAACCCACCCAAAGTTCAAACCACACTGGTTTTCAATATTTGTTGCAGCTTTTGCTCAAGTAGTTATGTGGTTCAAAGATGTGGGGAAAAATTATTGAGAATCAGTTCTCGACTTTGGTGTATATCATCAGTCATCAAACTCATCAATGCTGGCTGCAAAAGTAACATAAAGACCAAAGAGAAGATGATTTCAGAGTAAGAACTCAGATATAATAGAATAAATTTACTACCAACTACAAAAAAAGAGAAAGAAAATGTAGTAATTATAATGAATTCAGTCCCTGCATCTACAGGCAGGTCATCCTTGGATGGATTGATGCAAAGTATAGTATTCTTGTACTTATTGATATTCTTTGTTATATAAAACTATTAATAGATAGAGCAGGAATCAGCAAGCTTTGATTGGGTAATCACCCAGCTATGTATCCTAGAAGCTCAGCACAGCTATACTTGGCTGTGACAGGAAGCGAACTAGACACAAATCCGTCATAAGTACCTGCTATATTTCATCATCTTCTACTCTATCCATGTTTTGGTCAAGTAATAACTTAAAGAAAAAATATCAGGTGTGCTATTTTAAGATATAAGCAAGGGGCACATTTGAGAGTGTTCTACCAAACCTTACAACCACCCACCAACAAAACAAGGCTTCTTCTTTCTCATTTGGATATTTGACAAAAGATGAACTATCTTCAGAATTCTCTATTCACCATGACCAATCTCTCCCATTCTCAAGCAAAGCTCGGCATCAGTATAATCACACAATCAGCATAAAACATGACTACTACAGCCCCCTCACCAATACCATATTAATTCAATCGACAAAACATATTGTGAAACCAACATATAATAATTGTCCCTGGAACTCAGATAAAATTGTGAAAGGACTTTGGTTCCTTTGGATACATCATTTCAAGCAACAAAAACTGCAGGGCAGTGCATACTTGAGCAATTAATGGGCACAAATCTGTCACACTTTTTCTCATGTTCCACAAATTGATGTGAATACGAACGAAATACCACTCTTATCAAATGTAAAAGCACAAAAAAGAAAAGGGCAAGGTTCTCAAGCATAAGAATGAAAAGAAAGGCACAGTCCAAGGTTTTTGAATAATGATTAGTTAGAAGAAAACATATTAGTTATCTAAAACCAAACAATAGCTACTTTAGAATGGCTATCAACTTATGGCACATATGATAAAATCTTTTATCAAGTAAAATTTGTATCGGAAAAATTCAGGGAAGCTTTTCCGAAAAAGAAAAATGTCATGGCCTTGGGCCTAATTAATGTCCAATAAGTAGTTATAACTACCGGGTGAAAGCTACGGCTCAGATTAGATGTAGATTAATGAAGTTAGAGGGTAGAGATGCAGCCACGTCATCAGAAGCCAACTCAGCACAAGTCATGCTTTTAACAACCAATTTGGCAGAGAAGAAGGATAACGGAAATTTGGTATTTTCTTCTCTCACTTCTCTTCTTCTTCTCTCAGATCTCTTCTTCTCTATCTTCCTCATCTTTTCTCTTCTAATCCTAAACTCCTTCTATTCTGCAGATTGTGGACTCATCAATGGCTGTTGTAGTGGCTTAGTTTAATTCCTTTTACTTTAGTTTTACTGTCTTTCATTTCCAAGTTGATTAATAGAAAATTGTCCCAGAAATTTCCACTGTTCCATTTACTTTTGCACGTTAACTGTTTGATTTAAGGCCAAGTCATAACAATTGGTATCAGAGCCAGGTTTCGCTCAACTCGTGAAGGTGAAAATGGCTGAAGGGACCAGGATGAAGTTGCTAGATGATAAGTTGTTGCGTCATGACGAAATTTTGGGAGATCTCACTACAACTTGCAGGGAACTCAATGAAACTCAAACTGGAATCAGGGGAACTTTGGAGCTTATTTTGGATCGTTTGACAGCTCTAGAAAGAGCACCGGTCAGAGCTCCTGAAGGCGCTTTTCCAGTTAGAGATGGGCTGCTACCAAATCCCATACAGGAAGCTAGGGCCAGATTCCCATTCCCACCTCCAAAATGGGAACTACCAAGCTTCGACGGGAACAAACCTAAGGTATGGTTGCGTAAATGTGAAAAGTACTTTAACCTATATAGAACTGCTGATAATCAAAAGGTAGAGGGAGCTGCACTCTATTTGAATGGGCTTGCTGAGACATGGTATAATTCACTTGTTTTGGATAGAGGAGTAGTTACTTGGGCTGAATTTAAGGAGGAACTCTGTGTGAGATTTGGGGAGGCAGATGTTGCAGATATAGTTGAGGAATTTAATAAGCTATCTCAAATAGGAACTGTAGATGAATTCCTTGGCAAGTTTGAGGATTTGAAGGCCCAGATGATAATAAGGAACCCAACCTTGAATGAGGCTCATTTCCTGTCAAGTTTTATTGGAGCTTTGAAGGAAGAAATCAAGTTTGGGGTTAAAATGTTTAAGCCAGTAACATTAAGAGCAGCTATAGAGCAGGCTAGACTACAAGAGAAAGCAATCGAAGTAGCTCAAAAGAAGAACGTGATGA